GCTGAGCAGAGCTGAACACAAACCTGGTGTGCACCAAAACCCACCAAAACTTCAGTAGCATTTCTGTTGACTGTATTTGGCTTTTGTTCTCACCCAAAGACCATTGAGACAGTCACTTAGATGAGGCTGTCTACTGCAACTGCAGAACAGTTATTAGCTTAATTTAAACTTATATACCTAGCCTCAAACAAAAATGTGCTCCTGGCAGATTTGCTGCCTGTTTGCTGGTCCTGCTGAGGACCCTGGGTCTGGATTCATCTCAGTTTGCATTAGACTCAGTTGATTGTTCAAGCTGGAGACCTAATTCCTCTGTAGGCCTGGGAGCCCTCAGTAATCAATGAAGAAAAAATAGTTACTTCCCAATAACAATTCAGAAATTTAGATGGGATGAGAGTAATTAAAGTCTTCAGTCATTTCTACTGAATGTAAAGGGAGTTCAGGATAGGAAAACTCCTAGTTCAAGCAAAGTGCCTGAAGTTAGATGAGATGGATATGTGTGCTAGTGACAAGTGATTTTTCATGGACCTCACTAGACTTTCATGGAGTTGCTTAACTACAGATATGTTGTTTAATAAGGAAAAGAGAAACCTGTGGGAAAACAAAGAATATCAATAATCACACATACTTACATCTGGCAATAAAGATTTTTTGTGAAAAAAAATCAGTACAGCAGCTTGTTGCCTTTGAAAGGTAATTCTATTAAAATGTTCAACATGAAGTTTCTATTTTTAAAATACCAGTTGAAAGAAATACAGGAGATTAATAAGAAGCTAAATTGAAACCATGTTGGCTCATAGGTAACACAGACAAACGCTGAGTTAATGGGGAGGGCTGTGTGTGCACTCCAGTTTGGGCTACCGCTTGTTTGATTTTTATTTTGTCTTTCTTAGGAAGCAGAAGGGGGTAGAAATACCAGCCTGTTAAATATCTTATTTCCTTTCCTAGGCTGTTGTTCAGTTGAGTTTATTAAGCCTTCTGAAACAGCAGCTTATGGTAAGTTAAGACATCATCTGTCACCCCAATACATAGGAAGTGGCTGATATAAACTGTTCTCCAGCAGAAATGGACAACAGGTCTGCCCAGGGAAAAACCTTAAACACAAACAAGGGGATATGATGTAGCAATCATGTTGGAAATGGAGGTGTGAGTATTGAGCTATTGGCCTGGAAGGGAGAAACCATCTGACACAGGTGTACAAGAAAGCTGCAGATCTCTGTAGCTGCTGTTGGAGCAGATGCAGCTGAGAACAATTCTTGTCCAGCTAAAAAGCAGAAGAGAGGAGCTGCACCTCCAGGGAAGTGTGTACAAATACATTTTTTAGTTCCAAGGTGACCACAGTCTCATGTCAATAACCACAGCTGCCAGCCCAGAGGATTTGATGAACTCAAGTTCTTGATATTAAATAAAAAAAGGATATTGAGTGGGGAAATAGAGTGTTGGTAGGTTGGACCCTGGAGAAGGGCTTCGGTTTGGTTGGCACTGGCATTTACAGGATGTCAAAATCTGTCCCACTGACTGCAGTGGATTTAGGATGATACTTGCCAGCAGCACAACAGTCCCACATGGCTTTTATTTTCTCCCAGATTATTAATTTTGTTTTTAAGTCTAAAAGGAACTGTCTGGGTGGCAGCAACAGAAGAATGAGAACTGGAGGACCTTGTTAATAGCCCAAAGGAGAATATGCAGATAGTGGCTTGGTTTGAGAATTGTTGGCAGCAGCAGTGAATGTTACCAGCAGGCACTGCATGGAGCTGTGGATGGAATAACCTGCTGGAAATAAACGGCACACAGTGTCCAGAGAACATTTACATAAGGGAGACGTCTGTAAAGTATTAAAGGAGTAAATGTAGAAAAGAACTAAGAACTTGTTGGAACTGAATGACAAGATAAAGCCAGGAGAATTTCTGCCCCAAGGCACTCTCAGTCAGCTCCAGCAGTCTCCTTCCATGCCAATATGACCTCCAGCTATGTTTCCCAAAACCAGGTTTCTGGCTATTCCTCTGAAGATGTTTGATTTTCAGCTGAACCCTGCATGTCTCATAATAAGCTCCAGGTCTGTTTTGTGGTCACGGTTTGTGTTCTATGAATCTTATTTCTTAGATAATGGAGATTGGGATAGAGTCAGTGATGAGAACCTTGGGGAAGGCCACAGATACATGGGGAGGGATCTGCTAGTGTTTAACAAGAGAACACTAAAATCTTTCCAGTTTACTGCTCTGATTGCTCTGATTTTATATAAGAACAAGTTGCATCGATTGCAAAGCTTCAATAACTTAAGCTCTGCAAAACACCCACATGAATTACAGGAACACAAGTGCAAACTGCCCAATGGCGGCATTGCTAAATAATTTATTATTTTTTTTTAGCCAGAGATGTCCAGTATTACACAAAAATAAACAAAAACTTCAGAATTTTGAATGTTAGATGAAGAAATACCATTTTTTCCTCATTGAGCAGATACCCCATTTTCACAGACACTGACCTATTTACTCAAGCACTTTGGAGTCTCAAAGTTATTGTTTAGGTGTAACATGTTATTGATAATATTAGTCAAAAAGTAGAACTTTCTCTATTGAAACAAAATTTGAAGTTTCAAAATGAGTTTGCAGACCCCATTGGGAGATCAGGCACTCAGTGTGGTTGGAGTGAGTTGGGCACTTGCTGTGTAGGGAATATTCTGAGAAGTTTTACTTTGGAAGCGTCAAAACATTTTGATTCTGAAATTTGAAAATATGACATTTGATAGCAGTGATTTTCTATTATCATATTGTAAAGTGTAACAGTGTAAGCTCACTGGGGTGTAACAGTCTGCACACATGGTATGTATTAACATTTGTTTTCATGTAACATATGTATGAGTTGAAACAATGAAATACAGTGATATGGTGAGAATAAAACATATGAGTCAAGATTAACTTGGAAAGTTAAAACATTCAGCTGTAAAACAATTTGGTTTCACAAAAAATGGTCTTTATTATGTAAAAACTACTACATCAAACTGCTCCTAGCTTTCAACCAAGTTTCATTATTATAAGTGAAACCAGCAATGCCCAACAATTTCCATTGTGGCAGCCTCTAATGCTGTTAAACTTTTACCATGAGTGCTGAAATCATCCATGCTGGGTGCTGCTGCAGGCTGCTCCGAAATGATCGGCAGAAATGCTTTGGCAGTTTCTGAGGCTAAGCACAGGGAAGAGTATGTGATTTTGCTTACAATAAAACACTACAGCTGTTTCAGAGAAAAGCGTTTAAAAGGGTACTGGGGTGAGTTTTTTGCCTCCCAAGCATCTGCCCTGGTTTGGCCAACATGTGAACTCGTGTCATGTTCACACATTCTCTATGTAGCTCAGGAGCTCTGTCAGCTCAAGGAGGGATCAGTGGAACCAGAGACTCTCGTCTGGTTTTTCATTTCACATTTGCTGCTCAAATATATAGGCAAGGTTTGAAGGAACGGTAGCTTCAAGTGCTTTGTGTTCTTGATTGATCTAATTAGGTAACTGTGCCTTTCTACTAAGGGAAAAACCAGCTGATCTGCAGAAAAGTCGGTTTGGTACATGGAATATCTGCTGCTCTTCTTCTGCCTTCAACCTCAAGTCCACGTTTCGAGGCAGGAGCGGTGAGACGATGGTGTCCTCTGTGCCAAAACAGAGCCCGCCGTGCCAGAGATCTAATCAGGTGGTGACACCAGGGACTGGCAGGGATGCTTGTGAACATGGAAAAAGTAGTTCTCCTGGCTCTCCCAGACATGTGGCTGGCCAGAAGCGAGGTTTCAATTATAAGCGGGGCTAAAGTACATTTGTGTTAATGAGAAATCCGTCAGCCGAGGTGCAGATACTCCAAGAATACACGCAATGGGATTATGTGCGTGTTGCTAATTCATTTGACATAGCTGCTCAGTCGAGCTTGGTTAATTAAGATGGGTGATCCCTTTTGGCCGGGACGTGGCATCACTGAACCCAAATATCTGCTAGAAGTGTAAGATGTTGTGGTTCCTGGGCTGCCGGGTGTCAGGAGTCACCTCAGAGCACTCCGCCGGGGTCTGTGAGGGAAAGGTGGGTGGCAAGGTGCAGGTTGTCACTGCTAACATGGAACACGGGGTTAACATGGGGTGCCTTAGCCCTGCTGCGTGAAAACCTTCACAACACATTCTGGGGAGATTTCTCAGTGTTTTGGAACAGCAGCGCTGCTATTCCCTGCCCGGCTCTGGGTGCCTGGGCATCGGTCTCCTTGTGAGAAGAGGAGGGGGGCTCCTCCCTGAGGCTGTGAGGAGAGGAGGGGGATCCTTCCTGAGGCTGTGAGGAGAGGAGGGGGCTGCCGGGGCTGTGAGGGGAGGAAGGGGCTGCTCGGGTTGTGAGGAGAGTAAGGGCTCTCCGAGGCTGTGAGGGGAGATGGGGCTGCCCAGGTTGTGAAGAGAGGAGTGGGTTCCTCCCTGGGGCTGTGAGGAGAGGAAGGGGATCCTCCCTGAGGCTGTGAGGAGAGGAAGGGGCTTCTCGAGTTGTGAGGAGAGAAGGGGCTCTCCGAGGCTGTGAGGAGAGGAGTGGGATCCTCCCTGAGGCTGTGAGGAGCGAGGTGGGTCTCCGAGGCTGTGAGGGGAGATGGGGCTGCCCAGGTTGTGAAGAGAGGAGTGGGTTCCTCCCTGAGGCTGTGAGGAGAGGAGGGGGATCCTTCCTGAGGCTGTGAGGAGAGGAGGGGGATCCTCCCTGAGGAGCGAGGTGGGTCTCCGAGGCTGAGGGGAGGAGGGGGCTGCCCGGGCTGTGACGGGAGGAAGGCACGGCCCGGGCTGTGAGGGCGAAGGGGCTCCCTGAGGCTGTGAGAAAAGGAGGGAGCCCTCTTAAGAGTGTGAAGAGAGTCTGGGGGCTCCTCCCTGAGGCTGTGAGAGAGAAGGGGGCTCTCCGAAGCTCTGAGGGGAGGCAGGGGCTGTTCCCGCCTGCCACAGCCGGCTCCAGCAGCCCCACCGCAGAGCGCACCTGAGTGAAGAATATGCACTGAACTAAAAATATCTGAGGGATTTTTCATGAATTCATGCATTTTTTTTTGCAGAATATTGAACTCCTCTCTTTCAAAAAGGTAATGATATTTTGTTTGGCTTATTTCTATTAATAATTTTTACTTAAACAGGCATCAATAGCCAGACACTCGCTATGAGTTCTTTTGCCTGAAACCTAATTTCTTCCACCCAGAGTGTCTTGTGGGAATTTCAGTGCCATCCTAGCATGAGCTCCTGTCTATAATTCAGCTTCCTGAAGGAAGGACAAGCTCAGCTCTCATTTGTTTGCACACATCAGGGCTAACTTTCTCCTTTGGGCTCCCACATTGTCCCAAGGGACCTGCCACTCCTGGCCAGGCCCTCCATGTGGCGTGGAATGTAACCTGGTGTCCAGGGCAGGCTGCTAATTACAGCTTTAATTTTATTGTGCTTAGGAGGAGACAGATATCCAACCTTCCCTTACTTGTAAGTATGGATCTGAAGAAAGGCAGATAAGGTGTGCTGACAGATAGGACAGCCCGATGGCAAATTGCCCATCAGGTGAGTAAAACCTGCGACTGATGAGCCCCATGAAAGGGTGACTGTTACTAGAACAATACATGTGGATAGATAAAGCTGGATATCTACACATATATTACACACACACATATATGCATTTGTTTCTATGTGGTGTTAACAGCATCAGTTCCAAAAGGGTTTAGAAAAGAAGAAAATGCGTGTTTTATATTATTCCTGTGTATACACTTTCTTACCTAATACATTCTTCATTTCCTCTGGGGCCTTCTTAAATGAGTTGCTAATGTATAAGCAGTGCAACTTATAAGAAACCAATAGGAATCTAAATAGTGTCTTGCAATGCCTAATTTTGGTGATAAGCTAAAAACCCCTGCACTTTGTGGCTCAGAAATGACCTGTTATTTTACAAGAAATGAGCTATTATTTTACAATAAGAAAATAAAAGTGGGGGTCTGCTCTTAGCTGTAAATACTGCAAGAATTATTTTAAGTTTGATAATGGTAAGCTGTGGTTTTGTTAGTTGTGGATTGTTGCAGCTCCATAGCTTTGAAAAGGGGAACAGCTGATTTATATCAGTTGAAAATCTCTCTTGGAGTTCTTGATGTTTTATTCAGAATTCTTGGATCACAATACACTAGAAATCACTGTGGTAGATTTACCATAAATATTCAGGCTCTGTGATGCATTATTCCTTGAATAATCCCATTAATTTCAGTGGTTTAAAAGTACTCAAGAGGACAGATTCCCCTGGAAAGAGGAAATGCTGATCAACCTTGGGCTATGGTTGTGGGGACCATCAGCACAGCCTGCTTTCCAGTGTGGGGCTGAACTGAGTGCTGTAGCACCAGCTCTGCTCCTTGTTCTGTGTGCTGTTGTTTGCCAGATGTGTTGGGTTCAATACAGCACCTCTTGGGATGGGCAGGACTTTCCACTGACTTCATCAGGCATTGGGTGTTCAGGGATCTTGAATGAGATCAAATGGCAGCTATTAATGTAGCCTGGCGTTCTTTCAGCTTTAGTTATTGCCTGTGGTGCTTATACAACCTGTTTGGTACCTAATTTTCTTTCATTTCAGAAAGCAGAGAATGACTCAGCCATGCAATGCCACTCAGTATTGTTTGTATATTGTCACTTATCTTTGTATTCAAAGGAGCTAAATCAACAGCCATCCAGTTACTGACCCTTTCTATATGAGTTTGTGTGTCCAAAGGCTGCCTGTTACCTTTATATGACTGGCCAAAATGATTATGAAAGTTCAAATCCTTGTTCATACCCTCTTAAAATGCTTATTTTTCAAAATTGGGACAGATGTTTGGTGCTGTTGGAAGAAAAACGTGAAAAACCTGGAACAACCTGTAAGGTCAAGTTTTGGTACTGATGACATTTCAGAAATGGAGCTGGTCGAAATATTTTCGATTTTAAGATGTTGTTGGTCTCTTTAAATATAAATTTTGGGCAAAGGAAAAAAGTAATAAAGAAAATAACTGCAAAAAATATTTCCATTAAGCAGTTTACACATTTCTGCACTTGTAAGATTTGAAGAGAGGAGGCACAGTTGATCTGGAGCAAGTGTCACAGACACATGAGTTTGTTATTGTGGATGCTGAGGGTGTTTCTGCACTGGTGACTGAAGAAGGCAAGACATCCATCATTTGAAGCCTGGTAGCTCTCATCACACCAGGACTTTGCTCCCATTTCTCTCCATTTCTGCCAGCAGTTTGTCCTGCTTGCTGATTTTTTTCCCTCAGGTTATTTGAGGGAAACAGGTGTTTCCCAGGAAGCCTCAGTGCTCACCACTCTAATCGCTGTCTCTGGGAAATGGATCCTTTGTGCTGTCTGGAGGATTAATAGAGGGTTGGGTGCTTAAAAAAATAAACAGTGAGTGCAAGCAGTGGGAAGGAGTAAAGCTGCATGTGGCTTATGAGCGAGGTGATGTCATTTATTTAGCAGAGGTGATACAGTAGTCAGAGATGCCATGAGGGGAAGGCTCCTTTGAAGGAAACAGAGGAGTTGTGAGGCAAACCACAGAGGAGCTGTTAGTGGCCAATGGAAAAAGGTTGTTGGGTTTGAAGCCTCGGAGCTCAGGTGCAGTGCAAGAGAATAGGGGCTCATTGTTAAGGCAAGGATCAGCACTCCCTTTTGTTCTGTCCCCTGACCCCTCCTCCTCTGGCACTACAATAATAATACCTTGTCACTCTTAAGACATGCTGGCACAGACTGTGTTCACTGATGGATGTTCACTCAATGGATGTACTAAAATGGTTTGTTTCTGTTGATGTATGTCTTGGTAGGCTCCTCTAATGGGAGTGTAAATAAATGAACCCGTCAGCAGGGATTTCTTTCACTGCAGTCCAGTTTAACTTCTGAGTGTCTCGCTGCTGGGAGTCACTCCAAATGCTTTACTGCCTTCCATTGCTTCTGCCTTTTTCTGGAGTTTCATGTATTCCATTTACTGTCCATGTGCACGGGCAACTTGCTATATGTGGATGCAATTAATTTTTTATAATGAGTATTTAGTAAAACAAGGCTGATAAATTAGGATGAGCAGTCAAGAAAGGTAAGGGCCTTTTGTTCACTGAGATAGTTAAAAAGATTTCCCATTATTTCACCTAGGAGTGATGACAAGCTCTTGAGCTTAATTTCTTTAAAGTTGTGTGCAAGATCTGGTTTGTATGAGGCTGTGGATCATAGAATTGGAACTTTGCTCCTGTGCTCAGTTCTCACAAGAATATAAATACTACACTGGTACTTTTCTTCAAGACAATGAAACTCAAAGACATATTCAAAAAACACCCAGAATGAATGTATTATAGTGATAAACAAAAAAAAATAGCTTTTGCAGAGAAGGTAGGCCCTAATTTATTACTTTCTCTGGAGATTTTTTAACTGTGTGTGGGAATGAGAGTTTTGAAAGGAAGTCAGCATAATTTTCACAGCTCTGTCCTAGAGTTTGAAGTGCTCATACTTGGCCCAGTTCACCTAGCCTGGAAGTGCCTTTATCCATTATCCTGCATTTATAGAACCTTTTAATGATCACTGACCAAACCCCATTTTTTCAAGTCTTCACTTCAAAAGGCTTCTCCAGAGAAACTTGTACACCGGCAGCAAGGAGCTTCTGGTGAAGATGGAAATGGAAGGTAACAGGCCTAGTGCTGACAGGGAAATTTCAATTCTTACTTGGAAAAATTACAAAACTGGTTGCAGTTCCCCCCCATTTCCATTATCAGACGAATCAGGCATGGAATAGGATATGCTTGCACAGAGAATGTCACACAGCTACAGAAATGCTCACCAAGTGCAGAGATCTGATATGATCCATGTAACCTAACAAGTTGTGTGTTGGGACAGCATTCTGTCATACCATACATCTGCAGCAAAGACAATTAAAGCAGCCTTCTCCCACTTCAGTCTCTGGCATGTAGGAGATGCAAATGCCAGATTTTGTCAGGACACCCAACTATTGACAGAGATCAGCCCTTCTGAAATGCTTTTGCTAATTTTTATGTAGTCTATCTGCAGTTTTCAATGCAAATGTACTCACTGAGGGAGAAAATCCTCTTTTTCAAATATGCAATTTATTTTTCAGCCTATGTGTTTGCTGACCCTGCTAGTAAAGTGCTATTTAAAAGCTGCATTCTAGAATGGGGAACATTGTCCCTCTACCCCTTCTCTTACGTGTTTATTGTAGTGAAAATGTAAGGACTTTATTGGAAGGTTGGCCATGAGGACACTAGAAGAGAGCATCCAGTATCTCCATACCATTCCTTCCTTATTTATGGTTGTAGCATAGTACATGCAGCACCAGATGTGAGTAAGAAGAAGGAGGGGTGCAAAGGAGAACTTCAAATGACTGTGATGAATAGTTGAAAGTGAACAGAGGGGCTTTTAAGGCTCCTTTAAAGAAAGCCTAATGCTCTGCTTCCCTAAGCAGCAGGCTACTGATGATGGAAAAGTCACAGACATACCTGCAGAGATTTGGGAAGCTCTTGTTTCAGTAGGTTTTTATGGCAGCTAAAAAAATAGAATTCCTGTGCTCCTGCCAACTAGGTTGGTGTGTCCAGCTCACTTTTCTCCTTTCCATTTTGCTCTGTAAGGACAATGTGCAATGACTTGGACAGTGCTGAACTCCCAACCATGTCTATCCTTATTCAGCCACCCCTCTCAAGACCAGGTCCTACTTTTCCATACCTGAGCAGCATCATCTCGAGGACTGATGTTTCCTGGCTGCATTTCTGGTTCTGATTGCTAGGCCCTGAAAGCCCTGAATCTTCTTTGCCTGATTAAAACAAGTGGTGACATTTTCTCAGACATACACAGCCTGCACTTCCCTAATGGCACCCTGGAAATCCAACATTAGTATAAATCAGGAAGGAAGAGCCTTCCTGCATCGTCTGTTTTATAACAAGCTTTCTAAAATATCCTGAATTCAGGCTAAAAATTACTTGCTTTTCCAACTAGCAAACTCCTTGATTAATTTTTTGTTTCCTTTTTTTGGTAACATGATTTGGAAAATACAGCAAAAAATGTCACAGATGCAAAGGGTTTTATTAAAGGAATTCTTGAAGCTTTTAAGTGAGTCTGTTGTTTGAGCACAGCTAAAATTGTTTTGTGTGGAATCCAACAGCCTTTGTGCACTCGGGGCTCTGTGGGATCGTGTCTCTGAGGGGGATGCCAGCGTTCACTGAGCTACTGCTTCATGCTGTCCCCAGTGGGCTTTTCCCCTTGTGCCACTTCCTCTGCCCCCATGGTGGTGGGTGTGCTTCAGGACGAGCCCCGAGCGTGGCTGAACGCTGGGGCTGAGGGGGATCAGAGGGGGTGTTCCAGAGAGCGGGCAGCGATGGATGTAGAACACGCCGGGTACAACCCCCCGAGCAGCAGCACTGCCTTAACTGAGCATTTCCTTTGTGCTGATTGCACTGGTGGAGCTTCAGCTCCTAAGTTAACACCGTTCTTGTGAGGGTGAATTCATTGCCAGAGCAGGCCACACCTCTTCGCACAGGCCTTTAGGAAAGCGGAAAGCAAAT